CAATTGTTACGGGAGGACTGTAGACATTTGGCTGATTAAAACCATTTTATTGTACATCAATAATTTTACCGTGTTTTTGGATGTATTTGTTTTACTTAGCTTCTGAACTTGTTTGTCTAGATCATTATTTTTGGACATCTTGGTTTCTCTTTGTCATTGGTTTGGTATTTGTGAGTTTTTGCTCCGAGAACCTACAAAATTGAAAATTTGTTTTGTAATTGTTATAATTATTGTTGTTAGAACGACATTTGAGTCGACTATTTGTAAATTGCGAATAAACTTTGACATCTATTGGAATTCGGTTCTATTGTTAATACGGCGTCTGCTGGACTCATCAGTTTTCAAAAACTGATCCCATCCAGTTCTAAACACAAAACTAGCAAAGTCAGCTTAAATGTAGATAGGCAAAATTTCTCTACAACAATCGTGAGCACTGATTGTTAACAGAATGAAAAGAGTTGGAAAAATAACTGCAATAGTTAGCAACAGATAATTTGAATTTTGAGAAGGAATTTAAAGCGTTCGAAAATACCAGCTGGCGCTCGATGTCGTAACTTCAGTAGAAATCACCTTGATTCCGTTTGTTTAAAACAGCTTATTTAATTATTAGGACAAAACTACAAATAACTACTTTGAGATGAATCGAACACGTAACAGTATTCACACACGATATTCTAGCCCCGAAATGCCTCGATACATTCGAGGGTGTAGGGAGTCAGCATTCTTACTCGTAATGCACTCACATGGCCACGCGTAAAAATCCAGTGCCAGGGAAGATCTCATCATTGCATTCTCATGTACAGGGTGTTGCATAACGTCGCAATTCTGAACTGTGCATTAGATATTTGGGTGAAGTTTTCGGGGTGTGGCCTCCTAAGAAAACCACCTGCTTCGGTCTGTGTGTTCGGGCAATATTCCGGCATTTATATTTGGTGTATCCTTGATAAAATATTTTTGTAGTTTAAAGGCATATATAAATTGTCCATTTACGTGTCATCAATTCATCACAAAAACTCACTACTTGATTCAAACAACGTAGTTAATCAACACAAACAAACTTTATTTCCATTCTTATGATGTCAGTTCAATGATCGCTTTAATCTTAAATTTCCTTAAAAAACCTGACAAGATTTATCACATGTGATGAGGGCAAACAAAATAAACGAAAGCAAGTTATCGGCACTTTACAATCTATTAATTTTTCATGAAGTTCGATAGAAACATAATAATGCGGGACGTTTCACTGCTACATAATAATTCGAGTGGATTGATACTGCAGTTTTATCATATCACCAAGGTACAGCAGAAGAATTCCAAAGAATTTTAAAACAACACAAAGTTAAAGTATATTAAGAAAGAACCAACACACATCGAAATACTTCCATTCGCTGAAAAGAAAAACTCTTATATATGTCAATGAAGAACTGTGCCTTTAAATTGGTATATTTCGTTCTGATGTATTCTATAGTGGAGAGTCATCTCGCGAAATCTTGACTCGAACAAAATATCTGATATACCCAAAGAAACCTTATCATAATCTCGTACAACTGGATACACTTCAAATTAATTTGGCAATGGCAGTTCATGACATTTTCGACAACAACCTATTCCATATGAAAATAGGACAAAATGGCTTTTCGAACTACTGACAAACGGGAACAGCCGGATCATTCCATATAGTGCCTAATCCTACTGCTCATAATGAAAAAAGAGGCCTCATTATACATTCAACTTGGACTGTCTATCCAGGTTACCATGTCTGATTTTATTCACAATTCACACTATTATCCTAAACTCAAAGTTTCTTTACTACTGGATAAAGAATAAGCAAAGTACAATGAAAAAATTTAAATCTTATATTTAATGAAACATTTTGATTGTTCAGGTAAGTAAGATAAATCATTTCAGATTTATTGAATACACATTGAACATTCAATATACATATGGATTGAAATGTCGATCTAGTCAAGTTTAGACAGCCATAGTAGTTCATTCAGTTTTGAAATTTATATACACAAATAGGTCTTAAACATGAAAGTTATTTCGGTTTGCAAAGTTAATAATGGTAGAACACGGGAATTAGGTTTCCTCATATTTCACATTCGTTAGCTGGACACAATTATATGCTATTACTGATGGATTCACTGAGCATTTTCTCTTCGAATATCCGACTAATAATTCACAGAACTACTGAGTTTTGACTTGTTCAAGTTTTCAATGTGGAGGCAAAAGCCTAGAATGTACAAATGTTAGTAGAGAATGAACAATTACAGTCTTTAACAAAAACAATGCAGTAATACAAATAGTTGCAAATATTGACTTATTCAGTTGTAAAAACGAACCGAAGATTTGAACACGTCATTTATTTGATGTATCCAATATCCCCAAGTGCAAAGAACTGGGAAATACTTATTTTTTGAACAATAACATTTGTGACACCATCAAATGTATGGGAGAAGAGTGTTTTATTCAAGAAGGGAGGGTGAAAATGCAAGTACACAGGTAGTATGATATTCTTCATCGTTCTCTACTGAATTAATCGTCAATACTAATAACTACATTTATCCACAAGTTACTAATTGTTAGGAATTTTATGTAAATCAACGAAATTGTTGATCGTTACATATCGACGGAATGCATCGTGGCAAAAGTCGCCAATTTATGACCAAACGTCAGTCATGCAACTGATAAATCTGTGTAACCGTGTGGGAAAAAAGAAGTATCATTTTCATATACATTTCAATAAGACAACAGTTATATCAACTCAGATTAAGAGTTCAATTTGTAATTAATGCATATGCATTCTGAATTCATGCCATGAGTTTACAAACGTAGTAACCAACTTTTATCAAGAGAACGAGATTGATGTGATCGAAACTATTATTATTATTATTATTATTATTATTATTATTATTACTATTATTATTATAAGCAAATGTACACGTTTGTTTAACTCTATCAAAATACATACATTCTTATGTTCGTTGTGACCTAGCACAAATTGGATTACGCTCAGTAACCACACTTGTAACCTGGCACGATCTCGGTATTCTTTTGATACCACGAGGTCGCCCAAAAATACATCCCACTACAACCTTCAATCGCCTTCTGATTTCGGGTTCACTCGGAGGCTTAGCCTGTTCTGGTACGCAAACTTCTTGTAGTGGTGATCATAGTCAAGCGTGACTCGACGCCACACTGAAAGCTCATGAGGAAAAAATGAATACACTATTTAGAGATCATCTGCACATAGATTGGGCTTACCCACACAAAAATAGTCACAAATGTCATTGACGAAAACAAAAAAGAGCAAAGCGCCTAAAACACCAATTCGTATTACACCACTTTTGACGGGGACATCATTCGACAAGGAAGAGTTAATTTAAACTATTTAGTTTCGGCGGTCAACAAAGAAATCAAACCAAGTAGGCGTGGGGTTAAGGATCCCGTAACACTTGAGGTTATCTATAAGAAGTTGGTGGATAACCATGTCTAAGGCTTTTGAAATATCAATGTATATCTCTCAGACTAGACATGCATGGTTTCGTCGGGTGAAGACTGATTTATATTAGTGAAAGTAACACGTCATACAAGAGCGGTTTTTAAAAATCCATGTTCAGAATCTGATAAATTTTTCAACGAGTAAATAGCCGGAGAGTTTGTCACTCGCAACTTTTTCCCCTAATCCTAGAGATAAATGAAATGGGATTTGTGGTCCGATATTTGTTCATGTCAGTCTTATTTTTGTAATTGTAACATTACTTGACTCCTATTGGATTACATGTAAATTATCGATTATACACTCGAAACCACAACAACGTTCAAGGTAAAAAGCAAAGATTGCACATCAGGTGAGTAAGTACAAAGTACTCCATCACTTTAAAACATTTTCAGTGGATTTATCAAGCAAGGCTCTTGTTAAAATGGGTAAAAAACGGTAACGATATTCAACAACGTCTACAAATAAAGCTAGTCACTTTATGTCGATTCCAAAATAATAAACTTGAACAAAATGTTCTAGACTTTCGAGATCAAATACACAATCTGATCACGTATATTGGTTTACGACATATTTTATCTCAATCAAATGACTCAAGACAGCAATATATCTCTGATCAAACAATATTTCACGCTTGACGCATATATTGAAATCTTTGCAAACTTCAAAAGCTGTAAGGTAACTGACTGTCCTCTTCATCCTTTTCTCAAGTATCGCTGATGCACTACATAAAACCAAATTTCAAGTTAATTTGTTTTGATAGACCAAAAAGAATCGCGATCGTCGACAAAACTGATAAAATTTTAACTCTGTGAATCTGTAGAAAAATGTCTTTTAAGTCATCTTTACAGAACGTTTTAGAATTATGATGGTGACGAGAAACATCTTCAAGTTCAACTGTGAAGTATATGTGTACCAGAAAACTGAAATTCAATGTGCAATGCCGAAATTCATCCCTCGACAGCATTTATTACATGCAGATATCAACTCTGCAATCAAAGCATCAAAATCTTTCGTTAAACTGATTATGACGACTTTATTTCAGTCTTTTCTAAAGATCAACATTCGAATGAAATAATTGACAACCTGAAGGAGACTACTTCATGTTAGGCTTTTCTAAAGAGTAAGTTTTGATTAAAACAACTGACCATGACAACTATAGAATCATGGAAGAAATCATAATTAATTTTGATGACATCAAGTTAATAATAGTTTGTCACCTAACTTTTAGTAAACTTTGAATTATCAAGTATCAAATGATGGAAGTATCTAATTGTGTATTGATAAGGTAATATAACAAATCACTCTAAATCAATGACCGTTGTAAATTCGAAATTCTGTATTTTAGCAGTGAGACGTCATCGAATCGAACATTGACAACGGACTCATTATTCGTTGCAATGATTACGAAATCACGTATATACGTACTACTAATTTAAATGTCAAATACTGTGGAACTTTCGTAGAACAAGTTAGTGTCTAATGAATGAAGACAATTATACAAATATTGAAAGTCATGTTTATTATTTTATCAACAAGAGTACATCAGTTATTACATAAACAAGAATACGAATGTACATAATTCCATTGAAACATTGTTCAAACGAATAATAAAATCTAAACTTTTCTATTAAAATACTCGATAAATACAGCTTGGTCTGAGAATCAATCAGTACTGTAATGGAGCCATCTCCAAATTATACAACCGATATATATAACAACTGGATAGACGACTAAAATAATCAAAATGTACAAGTACAGATATAATTTGTTCTGTATATTTCCTACGGTTGTATTGACAGTCATAGTCTGAAGGGAGAAAAATAAGTAGCATTTATTACTAAATAACCAATATTTACCAAATGTTGAGCAGTTTCTTCGAAAATTTTCTTGAGCTTTTCTGCAAACTGAAATTCGGTGATCTTCAATGTTGTTTCATCATGTTTGATGGGAGTTGGTGCACTCAAATCGTTAACATCCAAACTCTCCTGAATAAACAAAACGGTGGCATTGAATGCTAAACATCATCATCATTATACGATAGTTTCAGTAAAAATGATCAGGAGAGAATTCCACAAATAGTTACAAAATCTGCATTTGTATAATCATTTAGAACATCTACTACCGATTCAAGAATCAGTGCAAGAAATATACACCATCCTACAACTTATTGACGACTCATTTTGTGATGAAAATTGTATTCTGGATGTCTTATCTAATCACAATTTGAACATGAATAAATAAACTTTTAATTTTGATTGAGATCATGAGCCGATAGATGTTAGACCACCTTTGGAAATCTGGAAGCACTGGATGGCCGTTTTGTTCTATTGTGGGACTTCTCAGCAGTGCGCATCCACGATCCCGCTCGCGGGATTCGAACAGAAGGCCTTCATTCCCGCTCACGAATGCTTAATCTACTGGACAGTTGAGCGGGCATCCATTGGTGATAGTATCTAACATCAGTCAATCCACGAAATTGCGCGAACATCTTGCATTGTACTGAGGTAGATACTTGTCTTTATGCGATATGCATTAGCTCTACCGGTCACGGCTTCTCACTAGAACTCCGAGAATCCCCTCACGAAGCTAGTTTCTGGTGAGCACATGTTGATTACTCGTACAGGGTTTGTAGAGATTAATAAGTTTTTGATTGAAATCATGAACCGATTAATGTTGGACCACCTTTGGAAACATAGAAGCATCAACGATCCCGGTCGCAAGACGCGTGCGGGTGAGGAGTCTCACAACAGAACGAAACGGCCGTCCAGTGCTTCCAGGTTTTCAGAGGTGGTCTAAAATCAATCTTTTCATGATCTCAATCAAAAACGTAATAATCTCCACAACCCCTATACTAGTAAACTTATAATTTATTGTTTCATTGAAGCACTCCTTACAAACATTACGTGTTTCGCAACACAGAATAAGAAACCCTTGTTCATGACCTCAGGAATGAGAATCTATAAACTCCCACCAAATATCAATGCATGAGATTCAATTCTCAACAGGTTAAGCTACTTCACTCAAACTGGTTCCATCGGTATTTTGTAAAAATTCACATAGATCTACGGATTTATGTCGGACATCTGAAAGAACGACACATTCAATGAACCGGATAACTATCATACTTCCAGGCCCCGGTGATAGGCGACGCTTTGATCCATTGTTTACCGTGTCCATGAAAAAGAAAACAATTTGCTCTTATATGATAAGGTATCGTCAAGGTATATAAAGCTTTAGTTTAGTTACTGAAGGAACACACATCAGTTCATATTGGTAAAAACACCTTTCTTTCAGTTAAAACCATTTTCTCAGATTACGGAATTTGGTGATATTGTAAACAACCCGTGAAATAATACAATTACTTACCTCAACATAGCAATCATCAACTTTCAATTTATGAGTATTCTGATCATTACTTTCAATACATTTGTTGGCTTTTTCACACCAAATACATGTTATATTTGATGTTGTTGCTTTTTTGCATTTTTTTATCGAATTGTATTTTGGACAAATCTCTATGAAAAGAATACGGTGATTTAATGTCAAGTTATCAAACAAAAGATAAGTGAATTACAAAAACATATAACAATAACTCAATGATACAATTATGATTTTGAACTATTTAATTCACCGGGACATTTTCACCGCGAATCACGACACAGTATTAAGTATGCTTTCAATTTAAAATATGTTTCACAACATTGTATTTCAATTGAATGAAACTACTTCAAATGTCAAGCATGAGCAATGTATTACGACAGGTAAATTTGATGAATTTCAATAAACTGCTTACATTCAGACATGTACACACACTTTTGATTGAGATCATGAACCGATTAATGTTAGACCACCATTGAAAACCTGGAAGCACTGGACGGTCGTTTCGTCCTATTGTGGGACTCCTCATCAGCAGTTCGCATCCACGATCCTGTTCGCGGGATTCCGACCCAGGGCCCTCAGTCTCGTGCCAGAACGCTTAAAATACACACACTGCTGTCACTGTGTTCAGTAAAGCGTACGGCATTGGACGTTTGATGGTTGTACAGTTTCTTTTCGTGCAATCAGTTTTCTGATTGAAATCAGTTTAAGAAAGTCAGTTGTTTTTTTACTAAACATTCATTTTCAATTTTGTTAACTCATTGGAACAATAGAGGAAGTGTCATGGTGTTTTCTCAAACAGGAACTATATTTTTCTTGATAAGATTTCAGTCTAATTGCTATGACTAAAGATATCGATGCATGTTGCCACATTCTGGTCTACACGCCGTGCGTCATTACATCAGATCAGTTGGATCAACAAAAGTTCATCAGTGATAAAAGTAATATTTTATTCGACGGATATTAGAGGTGATCTTACCATTAGATCATGGAATCATTCTCTCACTAGTCGAAATGTTATTTCAAAGGTCTAACACGTGGTGAACCAAAATTTGTTCGTAGTTACTCAATGTACATGTTCATGGGAAGAAATGTACTTTCACACAGTGACATCAGTTCTGTAACTTACTTATCTACTTACATGCTTACTCCTGTTAACCCGAATGGAACATAGTCCGTCGATCAGCATTCTCTGACACACTCTGACTACGCCTTTTATTCTACTTCTATCCAATTGTTGTTCATCCTTCTAATTTCTGTCTCCATTTCTCAGCGAAATGTTTTCTTCGGTCTAATTCTTCTCCTTTGTCTCTGAATATTTCAATTTAAGGCTTGCCTTGTGACGCAGTTGCGAGCTTTGCTCAATATGTGCCCTATTCACTTTCAGCAGTTCTTCCTGATTTCTTTCTCCGTTGGAATCTGATTTCTTCTCTCCCACAGTAGCTTAATGCCGATAATGTCTAGACAAAGGATCCAAAGTAAGTTCGCCATCTTTAAGTAAACACTTGTATCTTCTGGATGATGGCTTTCGTAGTTCTCCAAGTTTCCGCCTCACACGGTAGAACTATCTTGATATTTCTATGAAAACGTCTTACCTTCGTGTCGGTTGAAAGTTCTCTTGAATTTCAGATGTTCTTCATATGTAGATATTTTGCTCTTGCTTTACAGATTCCCACATCTACATGTGCATCAGATCCGCCGTGTTCACCGATGATGATGCTTTGATATGTTAAGGGTTTTACAGCCTCCATAGCTTCTCCGTCATGTGTGACTCCATAGTTGCGTGCTGTGTTGCTTCGGAGAATATTGCTTTTACCTTCGTGTATGTTGAGACCTACTACTGCTGAGACTGCTGCTATACTGATCGTTTTCTCCTGCATTTGTTGTTGCGTGTGTGGCAGTAGAGTCGGATCATCTGCGAAGTCTATATCGTCGAACTGCATTCTAGCTTTCCACTGTATCCCATGTTTTCCCCCAGATGTTGACGTCTGTACGATCCAGGCGATCACCAGGAGAAGGACGAAGGGTGAGAAAAGGCGACCTTGCGTCGCACAGGAATTTGTTTTAAACGAGTCTGTGAGCTGTTTTCCATGCACTATTTTTCATTTTAATACATCACGAGTAGTCCGTATGATGTTAACTATCTTCTTAGGAATTCCATAGTTCTGAAACTAGCTGAGATAAATTATAATTTGAAAATATGGCTTGTCGACATGTTCAGTTCATTAGATTTGCATGACAAAGCACAAAATTTGGAAATCGGTCAATCGATTTAACTTTTACGGTGTGTTTTCGCAACTTCAATGCCGCAGGTTTATTCGATATCACGTGTCTCAAAATAAAACGGACGCTTCCTCGTCAGTGCGCAAACGAGTCACTTACACTTAGTCGTTTTCATGATTATTATCATTTCATCTATCGTTTTGAGTCTATGTGCCAAGGTAAGTTCCATCGATATGAAGCCTTCAATATTGATTAAAAATGTGGCGTTTATTATATTTAATATTCATTAATGAATTAAAGTGTAGTTATTAGTTGTTAATGAAGAGTCATTTGATCAAAAGTACATATAGAATTTTCAATTTGATGAGACAAAATTGATGTTTGCAAGTATGAAAATAGTTAATGCAGAATAAATAAAGTTTAACATACTCCCAAAAGCTTCATACTCCACCAACGTTCCAGGTTTGATCCACTCACCAGGAACATATATTTCATCTGACACATTATCTGGTATGATAAGTTGAACACAAAAAGACACTTAAAAACTTAATTACTTTTGTAAGTATAACAAGTTGTTTGCACCAAGTAAAGAGCACTCTAAATAAGAAACTGAAAACTTCCTCATATGGGATCATTGGTTAGCATTAAACATCCCTAAAATTATGGTTCCCTTTGCTCTGAAATTCGGAACTGATTAATTTTTAACCGTTGAGTAATAAAAGAGATAGATGAATTTCAAAGTTATTTTACAAGGAATTCAGTACGGCATCTGCAAAAATACTTCAAAATTGTTACAGGTTAATTAACATTACAAAATACAATTGGGCAATATACAGTAATAACAAACCAAGGAAGAATGATGGTTAGCAGTGCATTTAGCTAGTTATACCGGAATCTCAGAGTTAGTTTTCACTGTTAAACTGAAACGCAGCACCATACACATTAGACGTCGTCCCTTAATCCGCTTATTTACTTATTCTATTGCGTACGACTAGCTAGTGCGCGTTGGTTGTCCTTGACCTAGGCAGTGATCGATAATCTGTTCGATATTCAGTGACTCAACTGCCTGATGATTCGGCTAGGGCTTAGTTACATTTCACTGGCCCTACAAGGCAATATATAGTATTTACAAACCAAAGACGAATGATGGTTAGGAGTGCAATCATTAACACGTGACAGTTTGCTATCATTTGGGCATTTTAGCTGGATATACCGGGATCTCAGAGTAAATGTTCATTCTTAAACTGAAACGCAGCGTCAATCACTTCAAACGCCATCCCTTTGTCCACTCAGCTACTTAGTCCAGATATACACTAGCTCATACAACAACGTGAAGTACTGATTCATTTTCGCAATATTTATTGCATCTTATCATCGATATTTGAAACCGAAATTGATTCTAATGCTAGTCACCATCTATCTTTGCTCACAATGCTTGTGATTTAAAGCAACATCGGAACAATCCTAATGGGATGCACACTTATCAACACAACACTGATCAATCGCAGTTTTAAACTTCAATGTTGAGATTCAAAAAAGCAACACAAAAACGGAAATTATCTTCACTGCTTAAAGACTCTAATGCAATTCAAACAATCAACATGCACCAGTTGACCAAACATTTGGTGCATGTACTCACATTCGATCATTAAACACTGTATCACACCTAACCACTTACACTCGATGCTTGTGTTGAAACTCAGCTTCATCTTTCAAAAATATATGAATATGTAAATGAACATTTTACAAAGGGAACACCATTTCCATTTATCATTCACTTATTTGTGCTTCATGCAAAACACACTTACTTTTGGATTTTGTGAAGATATGACTGAGGACTACATGTGTGACTGTCGTACTGTGAATGAATAAATGAGTAAATATATTGTGTGCTTAATATCGTTATTCATATATCCTTGTCTTGACCTATCAATCGGTAACGTAAATGTTATCTGTCTCTGAATATTCATCGACACTTTTGCGATAAAGTCATTCATAAACCTTAGTTGTTTTGTTCAAGATATCCGGTTAATGTAGGCTCGGAAAACCGATGGTTGATGATGTATGCCACCGCAAATTACAATATTTACAAAATTCGTTGAAATGTTCCTTACGTGTTTCACACTTTATATCAGCACTGATTTTCGATTCCTGCTCGCTTTCTTTGATTTCCGTGGGGATCTAGAAAAACGTGTTTGAAGGTCGAGTGAAGATTTGATGACACATACCCTGTCACATCAAAATTAATTATTCGTTAAACTAATGTGTAATCATTCAAATTATCTTATTCAAAGACACAGTATCTTACTTACAGTAAGCATACTGATTTTTTCAGTTTCCTTAGGAGTATGATGCAGCTAGTCTACATAGGTGTTCTGAAATACTGCAATTGTCAGTCTCTCTATCATGAAAATTGGCGGCACACTGTTAGATAAATACGTCTGTTAAAATCAAATGTGATTGTGAACAACTAAAAGAATGGTGAGCTTGGAATATTCAACAGTGAACTATCCAAACAGTCGACCTTCAGAAGGTGAAATAATGCTTAACAAACTACGACGTTTTCCGTACAGTTCTCTACTGCACACTGATAATATTTGGCACAAACACATCATTGTTTCTTTTAAGAGCACTTAACATCTAATTATTCACTGATTTCATTAAGTGCTTGAATAAAGTGTGTCATTAACGGATTACCAATTGTGTCAAATAGTCTGTCTGCACATTTCAAAATGTTGATCTCATTCCACCGTGTTCAATGTAACCAAATACATTTGACAGTATTGATTAGGATGAAATACTAGAAAAATCTGAAGTATCTGAAACAAAACTATATTTCTATTCAATTGTGCAACTTACGTTATCATAGTAGAAAGATATCTTCCCATTCGGGTGTATCAGATTGGTTATCTTGGCTGTAACCTCTACAATAAGAAGACTATCGGTACTTAAAATTTGAGAGATAAATATTGATCAAGGTATTATTAGAAGAAATATCATATAAGCATACTCACAAAGTGATCAGATTTCAGTGGATAATTATCGTGTCGACTCGAATGCTTTCTTCAGTTGAATTCTCAATAAATACGTTCAATTGAACGTCATATGAAAAAACTGTGCATGCACCTATTAAATCAATTGTCAAACGGCGTTGTATTCACATGTACGTAATATTTTCTATCACATCCTTTGAAAAGTTCAATTCTTAGTACATATAACATGAGTTGAGGATTGTTTGCTTACAAATGTAACTTTAAAATTCAATTGGTTGCGTAACATACAGAAATTTTAATCGCCGACGGACTTTGACCATAGTGTTTATTTGTTATAAATGAGAAACGAATAGCTTCAGATAGGTTGTGTTTAAGATTTTTGTAAGGTGAATGATTATGCGACGAATGGATGTGTTATGTGCAGAAATGGCTCTTTGACCAACACAACACAAATCACTTATTTTGAAATACAGACCAATCGTCAAGTTCCATTGAAGCTTGTAAACGTAAAGGAATCTCTACATTCGTTTTCCGTGCAGTGATATAAGATTTTGACTTCGTTTATCCTTGATGTTCTATTTATTAGTCGTCAAATCTAGTCTTTTCAAGATCATGATGGATCTCACATATTATTCTACACTCATTTCTCAGAATAGTAGCACCTTCTTTCTGTTGTCTATTTTTGAATGACTTGGTTTGTTTGGATTGAAGGTGTTATTAAAAACATTTCACACGTGTACTTAAAAGATCATTCAGCGTTTACTCACCTGTACCATTAACTGTTTTCACAAAATACGATTTGACAACCAATAATCCTTCTGAAATAATGAAGATCCAAATACATGTTTAAATATCTGCATAATGAATATCTTTCCCTTTCAACCGATGAACGTCTTAACATCGACTACCTTTTCATATAAATCATGATTGCATTCCTAGATTTCAATGAATTGGTGTAATGAAATGCTTAATCATCTCTTTTGAAGACATTTCAAAGAATTTTATCATTTCAGAGATATGGAAAACGTTTCAATTCCGTGAATTGAGAAGAATACTTCACACTCGTAAAACTTATTCTAGGAGCTTTTGACTGAGTAATATCTTTAATATCTATCCAAAAATTCTCATACGAAATCGTTTTCTGAAATCCCGTTATTCTTCACGGCGGGACTCTAATTTATGGACGACCTTTGAACGAATCTTAAGTGACTTTGAGAAATATTAGGCAATCAGCAAACAGTCAGTATAGAATTAAAATATGTTATACAAAACCAAGGAAATAAAGCGAACACACTTCTTTCTTATACGTGACTCTAAAACTTGTTAAGGTTAAAAAGAGGTTCAGAGGTTCTAAAATTTTAATGCATGTAGTAGAGGAAATCATCCATATGGCTACAGAATAGTCAGCATCTGGAGTCATGATAAAGTTTCAAAAACTATCTCAGCCTCGAACACATAGCTTCAATTCTGTTTATGTGCACTCCGGTTGTTGAGTGCACGAAATGATACTTTTGGACAACGACACGATGCACACAACCATGCCTATATAAGAGTCTGTACGCTCTCCAAACATCCATTTGAATTGTAGTACCTGTCTGCAGCCGGTGTCGATAGTGCTTTTATTATCCAGTTCGCGATAATTGTCGTAATTCACATTAGCTAGGAATTATGTATGGGGTTTTCATCACAAAATGACATCAGCTATAATGCCAGAAATTTATTTAGCCGAAAGCTTGAAAGGCTTTAACGTTAAAATCCGAGATCTAATAACTCATACCTGATTGTCTCGTACACAAATTATAGTCTCGACTTTTCATTTGCAATAGCCGCTCAATTATCGCGTTGTGTGCAAGATTCCCTGTGAACTGATTGTACGTTAGCAGTAAGCACTGAATTAGGCGCCTTAATCTTGAAGTCTTTAAAACGCTTCTGATTGGCTCGTCCACGAATTAGAGTCTCGCCCATCTTGTTCTTGTAGACTATTCATCGTTGTTTATTGATCAATTGTATCAGAATTTGAAGATTATAATCATACAAATATGATTACAAAGTGACAAAGTTGAATATTCAATGGTCACAGACAGTAGCTCAAAAGATATTGAATCTATAGGAGTCCTGGAGATGCTAGAAAGGTACTGGAGGGTATCTACTATATCTTGATAGTTCATAGGCTTCAATAATCCAAACTCATTTCACTCATAACACAGCTTATTGTTTCACATATGAGCAGAATGATTCATTTGATCTACCAAGAAGTGTCATGTCGGTGAGATATCATTTATGCAAAATGAATGTGATGGAAGGATACAAAACGAACTAAAACTAAATAAAACAAATCTTACTTTCATTCAAAACTTCAAATATCAATTTCGTTATATCTTTTAACCGATTTGAAATTCTTCCAATGTATTTTTCGCTGAATATATTTATTAAACCTTCATTTCCTTAATAGAAACAAGCAACATGATTGATCATCTTATGTTGAATGAATAAAAGACATTGAAATGAACTTAAATGAACTGTATGGACTGAATCCGGATTGTTGAAAGGCACCACACACTATTTAAACTTTGAACAAGAAAAGATAATTGACGACGTTTTGGATGTACTGGCGTGATCCAGCAAATTCCTCGCAAAATACAAGCAAAAATCAGGAAACACTAAGATGCGTTTAGTCCAATCAGCGTTCACTTAACGTTTTAGCCAAAAATACTCAGGAAGTGAATCGTTACATGTAGAGATTCTGATTGGATGACTGCTATACTGCTTCTTTGTTTAGTAGCATTCCAGAATCTTCAAGCCAACCAAGTACATTTCAAATATTTTAAAACCCTACATTCTTTATGGATTGAAATGAACCTTGGAGTAAAGTACATCTTGCATACTTTGTGACTTCTCTCTCGTGTTCAGATCGTTGTACAGTTCTAGCTTTGAGGGTTATATGAATAGCTTAGGAAACGAATATAGCGTTCAATTTGGCAAGAATTATCAGGATGTTAAAAAAAAGCATAAAACTGATTCACTAAAGAAATCTGACAAAGCGGACGCCCTCTTCTCCTTCGTCTACATAAACATCAATTAGCAGTCAAACGCCATGATATTTCCTCACTTATGTCAATACACGTGGACGACTGCGTACACTCATTCGATCGGGAAAATGTGGAAACCTTGGGCAGAGAAAATTTCAAAAACACTGGAGAATTTTTGAAGCTTGGCACTCAGGTCAATCAGCAATCAACAAGCATATTGAAATCAATCGAATTTATCAACCAATCAGAAAAATCATGCACAAGTATAGGGAAAATAATCAAACCAATAGGAGACACAACCAAAACAAAGAAGTAAACAATAAAAAATTTTAGGTCAATAAAAACCAATTAACATCAAGGTGTACAGAACAATATGTGAAACGCATATGGAGAAATTCCACCACTTCACTTCTACCGAAAGTTTGTGCTCATAATGATGTCGTCCAGAAGAACAATGAAAGCTCCAAAACTAAACCATCCAGCTCAGAGAACAAAACTCTATCAAAAAAAAATGGAATCAACTTTGATTTTTGAACAGAAATCTGACCAAGAATACTTAGTAACCGTTTTAGTTCCAATAAAAAGTGAAAAAATTATTGACTTACCATAACGATGAATAAGAAGGTCATTCACATGGCGATCGTAATATTTAAACGGGAAGTTCAAGGCAACATACTAAACAGACGTAAATATTTGAATAAGTACCTCCACCAAAAAATGTAGTCAACTCACTTGAGGTGCAGTGAATATATTAGGACTATCTTTTACAAGTGGATATGATTGATTACGACGAATTCTCATTAAATAATTATGGTGAAACGACTGAGTATGTCTATTAGAATCTGATTATTGACTTACAATTCGATATGAATCATTTTGAAAAATTGTTTCTTTTAAGCTGTTTAAGTGACATTTTGTACAGATATCTTGACATTTGAAGAATTCAGTAGAGAACCATACAACGATCAAATAAAGTGATATGAATAAGCTAAATGATGCAGAATTGTATCTACAATGATTTAAATGAAGTAAACAATATTATCTCATTGAACTGAATTTCACTTTATGGGATCAATTCATTTTCTTTGTGTGTTCAGTCAATACTCACCTCAGCATCTTGTTCAAATGAGTAAATCAAATTTAAAACAATAAAAAAACTTTTCAGATTTATATAGAGTTTTGAAGTGTTTGGTTGTTTCTTTTTGATTCAATGTACATTGATAACCAATAATGGTAGTAGATGAACTCATCTTAATTCAATATTGTTATAGCTATTAAGAACATAGATTATTATGCTTCCCTCGTTGGTTGGAATTCCTGACTCCACCTATCATTTGGTGAAATCTCACTTGGATATGTTGTTTTACAATACTCTGAAACAAGTAATTGGTTGAATTTTAGTTGAAAATGTGTGCTCACGTGTTGTCTGTAATAAACTGTTAAACCATTGGCAGTGGAGCATTGTTTTGACTTGACTGGTTAAAATCAAAGTAACACAAACTACTTTGTTTGGAAGTTACAAGTAACACTGTCATATTTCTATTTTATCTCAATAAATACATTCTGTCAAACTATTTCATATTGGGAAAACATACAAGGACAGAACAATAATTTAGTTATTGTAGTTATTGCCTCGTTCAGTGCAAACGGGGTTTGATAACGTGCCTACTCAACAGGCTTAATGGCATTTGTACAAATCACGCCATGAAGGTAATGTTAAGTTCCTCAATAAAAACATTAACAGAAATCGGCTATCCTCTGAAATTGTTGAATTGATGGAATGGTCATGATACAGTTAAACCTGTTACAGTCTTGATATAAAAAAGCCTTTCTAAATCACCTTATCCTTTAGAGGTGAGTGAAATAGCCTTTTATTGCAACAAAAGCATAAATCAATCATTAACCAGTTGTATTACGCAGCACAACCCATTATAATCGAAACAAGCCATAAGATTGATAATGACACGGCTGGTGTGATGTTGTATAAAATTGTAGAAGGTCGTATACTACGGTTTGTTAAAACATTAGTCATAAAAAATTCGAAACGCCTATGTGTATTCAAAAACGGTTTGTTCTCATCGTAAACCTACACTGATAAATATGGATTTATCAACCAGAGTGATTAGAAATCAAATTGTGTTCACATTAGTACTATTACGTCTATTATTATCCTTCACTCCTCCTAACCCGATTTCCAGTCTAGTAAACGTTTTATTTTTATTTGTAAAAATTCTTAACAAGGATATGCGTGGTAAGATTGCTCGCAGTGTATTGCAACAATATATCACATAGTTCTGATAATCTTCGTCTTCTCACTACATTATACGGATTTCATCATCGTTTAATATGAAATTTTAGCTTCTGAACAAAGACATACATACATCCCTACAAATGCAATCTACAGATCCTGAATACAAACTACTCTGGTGTGGTACACTAACTCGAGCAATAAATACAACACGTTTCTTCTGGTGCCGTTTCACGTAAAACACCTACGGTGGCAAGTCGAGGATCAACGATCGCTTCCTGATCTACCAAACCTCTCGTAATACAATCGCAAGTATGCCGATCAGTCACACGAACGAAACCGCTTTGTAGCGAGAGGCTTCTGTAGTGACCAACTTTTATCAATAGAACGAGATTGATGTGATCGAAACCATTATTATTATTATAAGCACGTTTGTTTAACTCTACCAAAATACATACATTCTTATGTTCGTTGTGGCCTAGCACAAATTGGATTACGCTCAGTAACCACACTTGTAATCTGGCACGATCTCGGTATTCTTTTGATACCACGAGGTCGCCCAAAAATACATCCCACTACAACCTTCAATCGCCTTCTGATTTCGGGTTCACTCGGAGGCTTAGCCTGTTCTGGTACGCAAACTTCTTGTAGTGGTGATCATAGTCAAGCGTGACTCGACGCCACACTGAAAGCTCATGAGGAAAAAATGAATACACTATTTAGAGATCATCTGCACATAGATTGGGCTTACCCACACAAAAATAGTCACAAATGTCATTGACGAAAACAAAAAAGAGCAAATCGCCTAAAATACCAATTCGTATTACACGACTTTTGACGGGGACATCATTCGACAAGGAAGAGTTAATTTTAAATATTTAGTTTCGGCAGTCAATAAAGAAATCAAACCAAGTAGGCGTGGGGTTAAGGATCCCGTTATACTTGGGGTTATCTATAAGACGTTGGTGCAATACAGTGAAAAATGTCGTTTTTTCGTTTGTTCAATGAATAGTGAGTTTTATATATTAGTGACTATCATAAGATGATTAAAATAATCAACGTGATCAAAGGTCATGCAATATAAAACAAGCTGAAACCAGAACTACGCGTGCATATAAAGTATGTCTTGTCGTTACATTTTGGCCTTCAATATTATTTATAGATACTCATTATAAATCACCTTATTTATTTTTGCACCTCTATTACCTTTAGTTACTGTAACAAAAACATTTTAATCACCAGTTTATTTATTACATTGGATTTAAACGTCAGTATATTTAAATGTGAATTGATTCTGTTGACCTTATTCATATTCATCTGTATAACTCAGATAGACATTTTGTTGCGTAAGACGACGTAGGTTTGTTCTTTTACACTTAATGCAACCAATATTTCAAATGCTTGTCAAAAATGGTTAATTTTGTAATATTAAGATATTCCAAGTTTCATATTATAATGAACAATATTCACACACGACGAAAAATGTACATGCAGTTTTTTATTGTTCCTCTATTATGCTTAACAAAGGGGACCGATGATTTTCAAATATCATTCCATACTTTAAAATAAGTAACGTTTGCAATGTCATTACTTACTTACTTACGCCTGTCACTCTTCGTAAAGAGGCATAGGCCGCTCATTAGCATTCTCCATCCAACCCTATCCTTGGAAATCCTTTCCAGCTCCTTCCTCCAGTTGTTATTTATCCTTTTTATATCGGCTTCTATTTCCCGACGTATAGTGTTCCTTGGCCTTCTACTTTTCCGCTTCTCTTGAGGATTCCAAGTTAGAGCATGCCTCGTGATTGTAATGTCGTTGACATATGACATTTACTAATCCATGTATTAATTTTGCTAGACTGAACACTTAGAAAATATTTGCTATTGACATAACGTGAAAAAAACCTAACGTTCACTTCTCAAGCTCAATAAACGATTTACATGACTGCTTACACACATATAAGTATTTACTGTCATAATTATAAACTGCTCAACTACAAAGAATGTACAAGTAAAAACAATTAAGTTTCAGTTTGGAAATGACAGGAGGCTTGTTGGAATGTGTTAGTTCTGGTAATGATGGTCTCTCAGCCGATTCAACTTTCTTTTGAAAGAGTTGACGGATGGATCCTTAACCACGTGCTCAGGTTATCAATTACATTCGTTGATGATTCGATGGTAAAGTCGATGATCAGCTGACAATTAATTTGTCCTGGGATTGTGAACTTTTTTGGAGTGTCCTCGTTAATTCTCTGTTTTGGAAGACAAGAAAAATGAAGGTATATCAGGTGCAAATTTATCATTAGGCAATTTGTAGACTGTAATCAAGTCGCCTCTAGTTCTGCGATATGACAACGGGAAAAGGTTCATCTTGGCCAGTCTAGCATCATACGGAAGCTTCGCTATTCCGGGAATCAGCTTAGTTGCTGTTCTCTGAACCTTTTCCAAAAGCTCACTGTTTTTTTAAGCAGTGGCTAGCCACTTGTATGCAGTACTCAAGTTTAGGACGAACGAACACTGCATACAAAGTGAAAAACGTTTCGGCGTCGACATAGCTAAATGCCCCACGTATTGACCATGATGTTCTAAAACCTTTCTCGGTTATCGCATGGCAGTGTGAAGTAGTCTTTAAGTCTTGGATCACGATGACTCTTAAGTCATTATGTGTCTGGACGACAGGTAGCTCAGTGTTATACATCTTGTTTGTATCTGTACCTCGATGACCGATATGCATCATAACACACTTGGAAGTATTTATCGGCAACTGCCAGGTTTGAGAACATTCAGATACGCTTTTAATGGATTAGCAAAATAACCCTATTGAAATCTAATGTTTTATTAACGGAACCGTTTATAAAACGAAAGTAAACAACTACTTTGTACTAAGAATAACATTTTAAAAAAATAAACCAATCATAAATATGAATTGCCTCATTCTGAGAAATTATTACTTCTCATTTATCAATCCTTTAGGGTTCGCGTGATTTATACATGCTCTCATCTTTATTTTATCGTAATGATCTATTGATATTGATGTGAACAGGGAAACAAGAAGCCCTGACAAACTACGAAAGGTATTTTCCGGGACGTTATTTCAATTTATGCAAGGCTCGTAAAACACTTTATTTTTGTTCCTAATCTATTCTAAAGTACATGAGCTTTCGTTCGATGTATGATTCTTTGTCATTCTGTTTTCTGTTCCGAAGCTATTGCAATTTAAACATAATATTTTGCAACCTATTTTCTACTATAATTCTGAGCTTTAAACATAATTGTCTTGTCTTCTCTTATCTGCGTGCTTGTCAGACAATCAAATGATTGAACAGTTTTCTTCTCTCTCTACCCGACTTCGAACTCACGCGCACTGACCCGAAGGTTAGGTCGGTCAGCCTATCACGCCAATGTCTTAAATCTGGATGAGATAAGTATCCTCGGCACCAAAAGTGGGCAAACAGATCAAGGACATAACAGATATGTTGATATGGTTTTTGCAATTAACATACAATGTGTTAGTGAAAAAACCAATGGAAATACTTATGTGATAATTTGTTTATTAATTGTGTATTAAATACTTGATTTCCTTTCTACTTTAGTAATCAATATTATCAAATATTAAAACAAGTTATCAGTTTTGTCCAAAACTTTCTTTTAATGATATTTACTTACTTTCACTTACGCCCAGTTACTCCTAATATAGCATAGTTGGACGACCAGCATTATCCGACACACTCTGTCCTGGGCCCGCTTTTCTAGTCCCATTCAACTCTTGTTCATTTTAGTGATGTCTATCTCCATTTCCCGGAGTAATATGTTCTTCGGTGTTTTTCTTCTCCTTCTTTGGCCTTGAGGATTGCATGTGAAGGCTTGTCTTGTGACGCAGTTGGGTACTTTTCTCAGTGTGTGTCGTGTCCAGTTCAAACGTTTCTTCCTAAATTATTCCTTCGCTGGGATCTGATTTGTTCTCTCCAATAATAGGTTGTTGCTGATAGTG